CGGCTTTCGCGCCTCCGCTCGGCGCGAGACATCTGCTCGCACCCCGCTCCGCGCCAAGAGCTCGTAGCATTGTCACTCGGGGCCAGTGGAGCCGTGCTCCTCCCTCGTGCAGCTTCGCAGAGCACAGGCGGTGAGCGTCGAAGAGGCCCGAGAGGTCTCTAAGAACTAGGCGCAGCCTTGCGCGCAGTTGCTGCTGCATCGTGCTCAGGCGACGACAGCGCGAATTTCTCTTTCGCAATGGCAGTCTTGAGCCGCACCACCTCCGCATTGTCCCGCCGCTCTGTGTCTGTGGGGGCCGCGCCCGCTTCTAGGGCCGCAAGGACGCCCCGCTCTCTCGTCGTCTCGTCAAGGAGACGCCGGATCTCCGCCTTGAGCGCGGCCGCTCGCATTTTGTGGCTCCGGCGCTCGTTCTGAAGCTTCTCCACGTGGAAGCGAGCCTCCTCGTGAGCCGGGAGACGGAGCTCCATCGCCCGAATCTCCTCCTTGACTCGCTTCAAGGAGTCCCTCATCGCCTTTGCGTCAGAGGCCGAAGGCGCCTGGCCTAATGAGACTGGCGGGGCATTTCGGACAGGCGAGACTTGTCGCTGCCTCCCTTCGCGCTCCGCCAGCCGGTCCAGCTTCCTCTCCGCCGCATTTCTCGCCGCCGCGACAGTTGCGAGGTGGACCTCAGCCGATTCGAGCTGCGAGTATAGGGCGTCGCGCTTCCGTCTCGCCGCCTCGAGGGACCGCTTTGCCTCATCCAAAGGGCTTGCCACCGCGGCCAGCCGATCGCGCTCCTCCCGTGCCTCGAGCAGCGCCGACTCCTGCGCCGCCTGCTTTGCTCCATCAGCGAGCCGCGCTGCCTCCGTCGCTGCTGCAGCGCGCTCATCCTGAGCGCCGGCGCGAAGCTCCTCCGAGTCCACCACCGCACCGCCACCGTCCAGCTGAGGCGGCGGCGCGAGGTGCCCCTCCTCCTCGACGTAGTCGCCTTTGTCGGCGTCCATGCAGACTGTAACGCTTCGCTTCGGCGCGAGTCGACTACTCGACTTTTCGGCGGGCGCAATATTTCTCTCTTTTTCAGACATGCCAGCTCACGCGCCTGAGTGTTATTTAACAAGTAGGCCAAACTCTCGCTCTTGCTAGTCCCCCGACATCGAGGCCGGCGCTTGCAAGCCGCCCCGGACGCGGGGGGCCTTTAGCCCGCGGCCGGCTAGATCCCGACACCAGAGCGGGGCGAGCCTTTCTTAAGGTTGGTAGGTGAAAAGAGATGTATGGTTCTTGCGCGGCAAGATTGGGCGTCTTCTACTCGAGTACCGCAGTCCCTTTTGATGGGCGGCGGCCCTGCCCCTGCGCCCTGGGTCTTGGCGGCAAATGTGAAATGATCGGAGTGGGAGTCAGAAACATGTGGTTCTTGCGCGAGGACCGAGGAGAGCTTGATGAATGATGATAAACTCGAGGGGCCAAAATACACCGCGAGGAGGGCGGAGTTGCGCCGAGAGGCGGGTGAAGCCGCGAGAGCAAGGGATCGGCAGGCGGCGGCGGCCCGTCGCAGGACGAGGCGCAGAGCCGCAGAGGAGAGCGGCGAGACAGACAGAGGTCAGGATGAAGCGACAGACAGTTGCGAGTTGGAGAGAGAACGACGAGAGGAGTGGGACGACCGCGAGGCGGCATGAAGGTCGCATTGGCGACAGACTGCAAAGAGAGATTGTGGAAGAGGCAGACGCCCACAAGGCGCAAGGGTGGGCGACGGCTAGCAACACATACTCCTCTCCTTAAAATCCCTGTCTGTTGTTTGGGGAGAGAGATTTTTAGCAATACCTTCAATACCAAACAACTCTAACGTGTTTGTTTGTTGTTTGTGGTGGCGGCGTGCGCGCGTGCCGTCCTCCCATCCCTCCCTTGCGCCTTGGGTTGTCTGTTTTCTGTCTTTCTTTCATTCAGAGTACAGAGAAAGAAGGGAAGCATAGCAGCCAGGCGCGTCTTAAAATAATCGAACATATCGGAGCATGTCCACAGTGCTCAGTGGTTCCGAGCCTGGCTGTTGCTCACACAAAAACACAACCCCGGA